TGCAATGTGTTGCATTTTGATAAGCTGGACAAACTTACACAGTAAATGGTCAGGCCCTAGGGAGTAAACACACTCATGCAAACATACACACAGACTCTCTTAGAGAATATGTAGTGATTATAACAAGATCAGCCGGTGGACTACATAGAATATGAGTTCCCTGATTGGGGCTGTTCATCTAGTCCAACCAGGGAGCCCTGGTTCACAGATGTAAACAGGAATGTCAGAGGTTCTGTTCACTCTGAGAGCTGGCTCTTAGGGAGCTGCATCAGTGTCAAGGCCTCTCCAGGTGTAAATAAATGGTAGCTTGGTAACTGGATACCAGTCTCTGTGGAGTTATTTCAGTGGCAACAAGAGAAAAGCATGCTCCTGAAGAAATTAGCTCGCAATGGATCCTCCAGTGTCACAACAATGCCACCCGGAAACTGGAGGAACAGCACCCCATATTCTGCCTTGGAACCCTACAACCCAATGTTCTCAATGTCGACTTTACTAGCTTCAAAATCTCCCCACCCCTGACCTCATCCCAAGACCAGCACCCCCTCTCATCCCCGCCTCATTGATCTGTCCGTCTTCTCTCCCACCTATCCGCTCCTCTCACCTCACTGACCGATCCCCACCACTGCCTACCTACACTCACCCTTAGTAGCTTCATCCCCACCTCCTTGACCTGTCCACCTTCTCTCCTACTATCTACCTGCTATCACCGCACCCCTCTCTCTATTTATTTCAAAGCCCCCTTCCCCTCCCCCATTTCTGAAGAAGAGTCCCAAGTGACCTACTTGTGTTAGGGAGTCGACGAGACTGGGTTACACCCATTGAAAGATAAAGTGAGGGTGATCAAATGTGCCTCGGCTCCCACGTTAGTACTGGAGCTTAGGTCTTTCCTTGGGATGGTAAACTATTTCAGAAAGTTCATGCATTCCTGGCCCCCATCCTGCCACCTTTGCATGAACAGTTAAAAAAAGGTCAGCCTTGCAAATGGTCACGTAGCCAAGCCATAGCCCTCAGGGAAGTGACGAAACAGTTATTATCGTTTAAGGTGTTGGCATACTGATCCCAAGCAAGATCTGGTATTGACATGCAATGCCTCCTCATAGAGCATTGGGGTAGTATTAGCTCATAAGTGGCCCAATGGAGCGGAATGCCCAATAGCATATGCATCCAGGACTTTGTCTAATGCAGAATGTAAATATGCCCAGATAGAGAAGGAAGGTTTGGTGGTCATACTTGAAGTCAGGAAGTTCGACAAACACCTTTACAGACATAAATTTACAATAATAGCCCCAGCTAGGTATACTTAAAGAGGACAAGACAGTGCTGCCCATAGCTTCAGGCTGAATTCAGTAGTGGGTTCTAATACTAAGTGCATATAGTTACAAGTTGGAACACTCTCTGGGAGGCCAATTAGCAAATGCAGATGCGTTGAGCAGCCTTCTGCTGGCAGATACACCACTGGTGGTACTGCCAATGCAGAAGTCCGTAATAGTTTTAAATTTTCTGGACTCACTTCCAGTCATAGCTGACAATATCAGACTTTGGATGCAGAAAGATCCAGTCCTGTCAAAACTGAAACAGCTGGTGGTGATGGAGGAAACTAAAGGGCCATCACAACCGGAATTGAAACCTCTTTGGACCCGATGGGACCAGATCGCAATAGAGGACAGCATAATATTATGGGGAACCAGAGTGATTGACCTGAGCAAAGGTCGTCACTAGATACTGGCTGAACTCCACAAGGGTCATCCAGGGGTTTTTTAAATGAAGATGCTGGCAAGAAGTTATGTCTGGTGTTCAGGATTTGATGCAGACATTGCTGCATTGGTGGGGCTGTGCCTAGAGTGCCAACAAGGACAAAAATTACTGCCAGCAGCTCCTCCACACTCATGGGAATGGACAGGTAAATCCTGGACTAAGTTATTTGTTGACTATGCAGGTCCTTTCATTGGCTCACTGTTCTTAGTCATTATGGACGCCAACTCAAAATGGCTGGACGGGCATAGAGTTCATTTGAAGGCAGGCTTAAAGAAACAGCATACAGCTTCACTTGCTACCAAACTTTCCTGGTTCCTATTTGATTAATCGACGACCCCTCATACAGGGAAAGCTCCAGCAGATTAGCCAATGGGGATAAGAAGTTGCACCAGGTTAAATCTGATCTTCCCAGACCAGGAGGGGAGGGTGAAACTGTATCAGGAACGCCAACGCCAGACATAAGACTCCGCTAAGCGGGGAAAGACAGTTAACTTCAGGGGACAAAGTTTGATGTAGGAACCACGAGAATGTCCCTGCATGGGTAAGAGGCATTGTCGACACAAAGTCAAGACCAGTGACACATAAAGTTCAGGTAGGTGCGACAGTCCTGACCAAACACGTGGACCATATGAAAGCAAAAAACTCGTAAACAGTGTGGGAGCAAAATGTGTCCAGCTCCTTGACTGCTTTTACGACTGCGCTGGAACCCATGGGTTCTCCCTTTCCATCAGGCGTTGAAGATACCTCGGAATCTGAGATGGACATAGTGGATGTTGCTGCCTGAAGAGGAGAATGAATTTCTTCTGACACACTCTGGGCGCAAGAGACAAGCTACTGTACGTTACACGGCGTTCATATTAGAGGCAGTGTTGGAGGAACTTGACCCGGTGCTAAAACAGCCCAGGAGAAGCTGCAAAAAAATGAATTGGTCTATGTCCAGAGGGGGAGGGATGTAGTGATTGCCAGCCAGCTGGACCTCATAGAATATGAGTTACCTGATTGGGGCTGTTAATCTGGTCCAATCAGGGGTCCCTGGCTGATAATATAGACAGGAGTGAGAGAGGTTCTGTTCACTCTGAGAGATAGCTCTGAGGGACCTGGATCAATGTCAAGGAGTCTCCACATGTAACTAAAGGATGATTTGGTGACAGGATACTGGCCTTTGTGGAGTTATTTCAAAAAGATTTGAAAAACTGCTGTGGGATAGTGACAACAAGGATGGCCCAGAAGCTGAGAATCGCTCTTCCCCTCTATCTCACTTCCACACTCCTTGAGCTCCTGGGTCCTCCTTGTTGCCCCACATCTCCCTATCTCCCTGCCTGTCTCTCTTCCCAGATCCTCCCAATCTCTCCCCACCCTCCAATCCTGATCACCCTCCTCCAACTAATCCTGATCTCCCCCATCTCCTTTCCCCACAACCCTCTATCTCTCCTCCACATCTTTCCGCCGCCACACCAGCCTTGATTTCTCAACAACTCCAGCTGCTTCCCCTAAAAATCTTCATACTCATGGTTCAAAGCAGTGCATGGTATACATGCATCAGTGTCGGCAAACACAGCCCAGCAATGTGGTTGAATCTTAACCGCCCTCTGGGCAATGAGGAATGGGCAAGAAATGCTGGATTAGCCAGTGACACCCAAATCGTGTGAATGAATACTTTTTAAAAATCAGCTGGTTCTTAGCAGGCTTTTCTCTAACTTAATCCTAACTTAACTAGATAAAACAAGCACCTCTCAAAGTCAGTTTTTATTCAAAATAGCCCTAGCAGGATCTACAGCAAAGTAAGGTCATCAGTAGTCATCTGATTTGTAGGAAGCCTTGTTAAAAAAACTTCAATGTCCACAGTGAACTTATAATGACCTCTTTTAATCAAACCACTCCAGGTATGTCCACAGAACTTGAACCAAATAAACTTTCCACAATCTTTGAAAGCTTAAGTCCTCTAAACAATATTAAACATAAAGCATCTTACTAACATTGACAAATATATGTCAGAATTGCAAGCCATGGTAAAAGAGAATAACTGCAGTTTCACATTGAATCATAGTGTACATTTGTTAGATATATATATGTAAGACACTGCCTCAGCCACAGATATTCATTTTAATAGATAGCATCTTAAATATATATAGTATATATATATCTAAGATGCTATCTGTTAAAATGAATATCTGTGGCTGAGACAGCGTTAGGCTAGCCAGCTAGCTAGTCAACAAATTCTATGATACAGCATTGAACTGGTAGGAAATAATATTGTTGATAACTTGAAATCTTCAATTTTTCAGCTGTGCCTCAGCTCTCTCTGAAGTCAGGAATTTAGTTGCAGGTTCAGGTCCTCTAGGGATTTGAACAAATAATCTGGACTGGCAGTGTTGAACCCTGGAAATGCTATTTTTTAAAATAAGGTGATAAACCAGCGTCATGTTTTGCAGTGTTTGTAAGTGTTATGGACCAAACTAGACTCCCTCAAATATATTAAGAAGGTAGCCTACACCCTAACTTTTTCTTATTTAAATGTAATGTCAGGTGTTGTGTTCCAGATGCAATTTGATTGGTCAAACTACTGGACATTAAGCAAAAGACAATTTATTCAAACAATAGTTAAAATACAGCAAAGGAAAGAAGAACTTGGAATAACTTAACTCTATTGGCAAACTTAACAGAATAATAGATACAGTAACTATTACTAACTAACTGTTCCAAAATAGTAACATCCCATAAAAACACCCTTGGAAAAAGGCAAATTTAGAAAACAGATTTTGTCTCACATGCAATGCAGCAGCCTAGGAAAAGAACCCCTAGGTTTTGTCTGTAATTGAGAGAGGGAGAAATAGCTCCTACTTCTTCAAAACCTCAACAACAGCTGAAATCTAACTAAAAATCGTTGATCTGTGAGAGCTCGACCACATCCACTCAGGCTGCTTCTATCGTTCCAACTTTTTAAAAAATCCCCAAAGCCTCACAAATTGTTTATCTTCTCATGCACTGCTCGGCATCTGTCCCTCAATCTGTCTCTAAAAGAAACCAGGAGAAAGCACACCTCTTAAAGTCACAGTATCATCACAGTAAGCAATGTTTTAAAGAAGAGCTTGAGAGGCAGTCCTGAACAGACGCGACTGAAAAATATTATCTTGTCATCAATGCACTGCTGTAATTGCGTACACTTCAAGAAGTATTTAATTGATTACCAAATCGTTTGGAGAAGTGCGTGTACCAGTCCATTTTTTTTTCTTTTAATTTTGTAGAAAAAAGACTTGATGCTTCTTGCTCGTTCGGAACCTGAGGTTTTGGGACCCAGTTGGTCTGTTCATGTTGACTCCTATTACATCATATTGCCTTCCACCACACTGACACTCCTAGTGAAGCCTGTAGCAGTGCAAGAACTCCTTCTACCTTGTGACCTTCCTTACAGATCTGATGAACCACCAGAAACAGCTCTAAGTAATATAGTGGTGAGTGATTTGAAAGGAGCTAACAGAGTGAACTGACAGTTTCATACAAATAGAATTTACTTGGATATTAGAAGACTGGCTATCACACAAAGACTGGCTAATAAGGCATATGAATTTCAGTGCTAGTATGACGCTTAGGTATGTAAGTAATTTGTTAATGTACAGGTTCCAGTTCTATGTAGACAGAAAGAACATGTACATACATAGTGCTTGTTTCAACTTAACAAAACAGCTGACAGCCATCCTTTGGTTCATTTCTTAGGGCAAGTCCTTGACCAGAGGCAGCCTGCCTTATTTAAAATTTAAATAAAATTTGGAAGTTAATTGCCAGTCATTATTATTTGATGCATTTGCCAAGACAGCACCTATACCAACCAGTGTCCACTTGTCAACCAATCAGCACTTCCATTTCACACAGTTTGAATGTTGTTTTTCCGTTACATTGGTATTTCTTATGCAACATTCTGATAAGTGCAAGATCAAAATTGGTGTTTTTCAGCAGTACCGGCAGGGATACATTCCCCACTGACTTTCCGGGGGCTGGGCAGGATAACCCACCATCATAAAAATCCTAGCCTAAATGCTCTGGTACCCATAACTCAGGCATCTCCAATTCTAATTTATCTTACAATTCAATTAACCTGTTTATGATCTATTCTGAGCTTGTCAGAGACAGCTCTTCCACTTTCAGGGATGCTGTAACAGTTTCTAATATCACCTGTGGTATTTTTGTGGTACAAACTTGGAGTTTATCCTTTAACCTTATCACTTATTCTAACTTCACGTCCAATTTTACATTGTCTTTGGTCCAAAGCCCTAGCTGAAGAGCCCCCAAACTTTGTTATGAAAAACTGGTGTTGTGAAATGGAAATCAAGTCCTCTGATTCCAGAGACATCGCAGATGTGAAAAGATATAATCAAACTATCCAAATTCCCCAATTTATCTGACTGACGAACTCGGTGTAAAGGAAAACACTTATCAAGTCTGTACTTAACAAGCAAACTGATTTTTTTTAATAAATAGCAGAAAAGAAACACAAATTACTAACACATAATTCTCTGTAACCTACCCTACCACTTCTGAAAAACGCCTATACGTAGCCGTAAAGAGACAAGACACAAAAATTACAGGTAGGGAAGAAACAAAAAAAAAAAGAATGAATTGCAGTTCTGGCACCAATCCAGATCACAGATGTTGAGAGGATGTTCTTGTCTTCAATTCTGATTTCCTTCGACTCCTTGAGCAGGACCCCAGTGTTGTATAGACACTGATTCTAAACCTTTCATTTACTCATTGACGATTCACTATTTTAGTGTCTCTGAAAAATTTTTGTTTATCTTTTTCCTTTCAAGAAAGAAAAAAAAAGAGAGTAGCTAACTTTTTGGAACATTCACAGTACTGCAGGAATATGTTCCCCTCTGACCCTTCAAGTGTTCTGGGACCCGTAACTTCACAAAACAAATAAAAGTTTACTTGGTATTTTTATAGGGGATATTGGATGGGCTCAATGTGGAATCAACATTTAACCCACTGAGTCTGAAAAGTAATCTGTATAGACATCTCAGAGGAACTTTGGTTAGAACTCCTTACCGTCAACAGCCAAAGCAAGTACAACGTAAGGAACAAACTCATCCTGAACAGCCATACAGACAGGTATTTATATTCAGTTTTTTCACACTTCTCACACTGTGTTCCTAACTTGTCTGTGTGTTCATCCTTGCACATGTCTAGAAGGTAACAAGCAGATTTTGTTCCATAATAATTTTGTACTGGCTTCTGTAAGCTTGAGGCAATAAATATTTAAAATTTTTGTTCACTGTTCTAATGCTTAGAGCAGGCTCATGCACAGAAAAATAAATAAACTTACAACAAACCATAATGTAGATACAAACAATGTAGACTAATCTATGGCAGACAAGGTTGTGCATCAGGACTGCAGTATGTGAGAGTTTGTGGACAGCAAACTATCCAGGTGAACACATTTGTAAAGTTGACAAACAGGCGGCTGGAAGAACACAGCAAGCCAGGCAGCATCTGGAGGAAAGGAGCAGTCAACATTTCAGGTATTACCCTTCTTCAGGACTAGATGTGAGGGTAGGGGGAGCTGCAAATAGAGGGGGGGGGGGGGGGGGGGGTGGTGATGGAATGGTGGTGATACATGGACACTGGTAGTAGGTATGACCTGGTTGATCGACGGGAGGGATGAATCCAGGCAGTAGCTGGAAGGGAGGGTCAGAAGGTGGAATGGAAAGAAGGAGGTGGGGCTGGAAGGGGAGCTGGGGGATGGATGGGAACGTTATTTGAAATTGGAGAACTCAATGTTGAGTCATCCGGGCTGTCGGGTGCCCAGGTGGAAGATAAGGCATTGTTCCTCAAATTTGCATTGAGTCGCTGCGACACTGGAGGGGGCTGAGGACGGACATGTCAGAGGGGAAGTGGGGCAGGGAGTTGAAATGGGCGATGACCAGGAGGTTAGGTTGGCCATTACGGGCCAGGTCAAGATGCTTGGCAAAATGGTCACCTAGTCTACGTTTGGCCTCATCAATGCAGAGAAGACCGCATCGGGAGTACTGGATGCAATAGACTAGGTTGGAGGAGATTCAGTTGAAGCTCTGTCTCACTTGGAAGAACTGTTTAGGGTCCTGAGTAGAGGTGAGGCAGGTGGTGTGTGGACAGGTGTTGCATCTTTTATGGTTAAAGGGGAAGGTACGGGGCGGGTTGGAGTGGTTGGTGGGGAGTGTGGCGTGAACTGTGGAGTGTCGAAAAGAATGATCCTTGTGGCAGGCAGAGACGGATGGGGAGTGGAAAATGTTCCGGATAGTGGGGTCTAATTGGAGTTGGCAGAAGTGTTTGAGAATGATACATTGGATGCCGAGGCTGGTGGGGTGAAAAGTGAGGACAAGGAGGACCCTATCTTTATTATGTTCGGGGCAGGGGGTGGGGGTTGGTGGTGGTGGTTAAGTACTATGGAGCGGGGAATGGAGGAGGAATGATGGAGAGCTGTCTGAATGACAGAGTGGGGAAAAGATCATTGTTTGAAAAAGGCAGATATCCAGGATGCTTAGGAGTAGAATGTCTCCTCGTGAGAGCAGATACGACAAAGACGGAAGAATTGGGATAGAGTTTTTGCAGGATACAGGGTGGGAGGAGGTGTAGTCTAGGTAGCTATGGGAGTCTGTGGGTTTAATGTAAATGTCAAACAGGAGGCTGGAAGAACACAGCAAGCCAGGCAGCATCTGGAGGAAAGGAGCAGTCAACGTTTCCCCTGAAGTCCTGAAGAAGGATAATACCTGAAACGTTAACAGCTCCTTTCATCCAGATGCTGCCTGGCCTGCTGTGTTCTTCCAGCCTCCTGTCTGTCTACCTTGGATTCCAGCATCTGTGTTTTTTTTTTGTCACTTATCGTAAATGTCGGTCTGCTAACTGTCGCCGGAAATGGAAACGGAGAGGTCAAGAAAGGGAGCGATGTGTCTGAGATAGACCAAATGAATTTGAGGGCAGGATGGAAGTTATTCGTGAAGTTGATGAACTGCTCCAGTTTAGCCTGGGGGCAGGATGCAGCACTGATGCAGTCATCAATGTAACAGTGGAAGGGTTGGAGAACAGTACCAGTGTATGTACTGAAGAGGGACTGTTCAATATAACTTACAAAAAGGCAGGCGTAGCCGGGGCCCATGCGAATACCCATGGAAACCCCCTGGATTTTGAGAAAGTGGGAAGAATTGAAGGAAAAGTTATTGACATGTTCACCTCAAATCTCTCTAGTGCAAGTTGAAAACATTTTGATGCATAAGACAGGGGGAGCAATGCCAGGGTCTTTTGTGTTTACCTTGGTCATATCTCCCAGAGATATTTAGACTCATGTGGATTCCCAACCATTTAGACTGATGGTTGGGAATCCACATATGTTAAAGGGCAGGCACCCATCAAAATTGATTCTATACGACGCTATAATGTACTCACTACTGGTGAGGATTAGATTAGAGACTGTTGGACAAAGAGCCAGAATGTGGACCATATCACCTTGGTGATGGAGGTGTCCAAAGAGAGGAGGAGCAGGTACAATGGACGGTTGTAGAAGATTTTGGGGTGGCTCAGTGGTTAACACTGCTGCCCGGCACCCGGGTTCAGTTCCAGCCTCGAGCGACTGTCTGTGTGGAGTTTGCACATTCTCCCCGTGTCTGCGTGGGTTTCCTCCGGGTGCTCCAGTTTCCTCCCACAGACCAAAGATGTGCATGCTAGGTGGATTGGCCATGCTAAATTGCCCATAGTGTTCAGGAATGTGTAGATTAGGTGGGTTATAGCAGGGTGAGTCTGGGTGGGATGCTTTGAGTGCAGAGTTGTTGGGCCGAAGGGCCTGTTTCCACACTGTAGGGGTTCTACGATCGAATGTTCTATGATTTCATAGTTAGTAGAATAATCCAAAATGTTATGCAGTCTTTTGATTTATACAATTTGTTTAAGAAAGTAAGACTATGGAAATAGGAACAGGAATAGGCTATTCAACCCCTCAAAGCTGCTTCACCAGTTCCCCAAAACCATTTCCCATAGAACATAGAACAGTACAGGTCCTTTGGCCCACAATATCCCCCAGGTTCATTTTTTGAGAGGTCTATGTCAACTTTGTCCTCTCTCTTCTGTTTTATGTATTTAAAGAAACTCTTATTGTCAGCTTTTATATTCCTTGCTTATTTGCTCTCATAGTTTATTTTCTCTGTCTTTGATATCTTTTTAGTCCTCCTTTGCTGGATTCTGAATTTTTCCCAGTCTTCAGAGCTATCATTAACTTCGGCCTCTTTACATGCTTTATCTTTCAACATAATACTCTCCTTAACTTCCTTGGTTTGCCAAGATTGGGTTATCCCTCTCTTAGAATCTTTCCTCCTTACTAGAAAGTATTTTTGCTAAGAGAAATGAATTACACACTTAAATGCCTGCCACTGTTTGCTTACTGACATTCCTGCTAATCTATCCGTCCCTTTTACATTGATGACGAGGTGCCGGCAACTGGGGTAGACAAGGTCAGAAATCACACAACACCACGTTAGAGTCCAACAGGTCTATTTGAAAACACAAGCTTTCAGAGTCTTATTCCTTCTTCAGGTGTTAGTGAGAGAGGTAATATCAGACACAGAATTTATAAGTAAAAGATCAAAGAGTCACATCACTGATGAGAATGTACTAAACAAATCTAAGATGCTGTTAAATCTTTAATCAGTTAGAAGGTTTTAATTGATTAATATGTATATGTAAATCCCGGAATTCCTTTGAAGTCATTGTCCTGAGAGAACTAAAGGTTTTATCAGTGTAAAGAAGAGGTCATACAATGCATGTTAGGTGTGTGGCCCTGTTTAGAATCCGTCAGTGTTTTAGTTTGGAATCAGACTGCTTTTGTTTCTAAAGTAAGAATTTATAAAATGCCACATTGACTGACTGCCTATAAATTGTGTGCTTTTTGAAAAAAATAGAATGTATCTGCAAATATAAATTTACCCCATGGATTCATACGTGACTGTGTGTGTGTGTGTGTGTGTGTGTGTGTGTGTCTGTGTGTGTGTGTATGTTTGTGAGGGAGAGAGAGGTATGCTCAAGCCATCAGAGAATGCGTGAACACTAGATTAATCAGCCACACTTGCAAGGTAGTGCAAAACATCACCCAGGCTCAACGCAATGCCATCCATGCTCTCAAGACCAATTGCAACGTTGTCATCACATCAGCAGACAAAGGAGAAGCCATTATCATACAGAATAGAATGGACTACTGCAAGGAAGTATACCAACAACTGAACAACCAGGAACACTGCAAACAACTAAAGGCTGATCCGACCAAAGAACACACCCGTCAACTGAACAGACTGGTCAAGCCTTTTGATGCAGTCCTTCAGAGAACCATACGCACTTTCATCCCATGTAGGGGACTTCTACTGCCTTCCAAAGATACACAAAACCAACACACCTGGACATCCCAACGTATCAGGCAGTGGGACCCTTGTGTGAGAACCTCTCTGGCTATGTCGGGGGCATCTTGAAACCCAATGTACAGGGAATCTCTAGTTTCCATCATGACACTACAGCACCCACAGACCAGTTGAACCAGGAACATTCCTCGTCACAATGGACGTCTTGGCAATCTTCACCAGCATCCCCCACGATGACAGCATTGCCGCAACAGCCTCGGTACTCAATACCACCAACTGCCAATTTCCAAACGCCATCCTACAACTCATCGGCTTCATCCTGGACCATAATCTTTGACAACCAGTTCTTTGTCTAGACACACAGAACAGCCATGGGGACCAGATTTGCTCCCCAATATGCCAACATTTTCGTGCAGACATTTGAACGAAACTTTGCTACACAGAACCTCTGACCAACGTTATACACCAGATATATTGATGACATTTTCTTCCTTTGGACTCATGGCGAGGTATCACTGAAACTACTATACAGTGATATCAACAAGTTTCATCCACCAGCAGACTTACCATGGACTACTCTTTAGAATCAGTCTTATTTTTGGACACACACATCTTCATCAAGGATAGACACCTCTGTACATCACTCTATCGCAAGCCCAAGAATAACCTCACAAAGCTGCATTTCTCTGGCTTCCACCCTAAACATATTAAAAGAGCCATCCCCTATGGACAAGC